GTGTGTATTTAAAGTGTTCCCAGTCCCTAGTTCTCTGTCCGCTGTTGAACGTCTTCCTGTGTTCGTCTCCCTTGGTGCAAATAAAGTCTTCGTGAAGTATTCTCCAGCGTCTCCTCGTTCCTCGTGTGTGTGCACCGTGACAATAGAGGCCCTTCAGGTTATATTGGTCTAACACAGGGAGACACTTCACGACAGAGATCACGTCACTGGCAAATGTGAACTTGCATGCCATAATAATGACTCAAGATAGGGCACCAAAGTGTCTTTTCTGCAGTTGCAGTTCTATTACGCAAACACAGACATATGAGCTGAATGGCACAGCTCTGTAGTGATAAAATTATTTTGAATGTTAACTACAGCATATAAATCATCTAAATAAATATTACAGCACTGAAAATCCTGCATAATCATGATAAATATGCATCAACCTAATGGTCATAGTATGGCCATTTAATTTGAGCATATAGCTATTGATCAGTTGGAAGAATGACAAAGTATTGTATAACATGTACATGTAGCTATGTTTTTTTTTATTTTACATTTTAATTTTAATTTTGGTTGTATAGTTTTGTTTTTTATTACAGTTTTAGTTAGGCTATATTTATTTTAGTACATGAAGTTAAACTATAGGACAATAAGAAATGTTGCCTGAAATAAACAAGTTTGTATATTTGAAATACACTTACACACTGTGTGTTGGCCAAATGGCTTTCCAAAAGTGCTGACGTTTTACGTTTGTTGTATCGCTCCATACGTGTTCATGGCGTCGGAGTCAAAGCGGAGTCAACGCGGGGCAGGGAGCGAAATTGCTTCGAGGCATCGAGGCATCTGCGTTTTCTCTCTTGAACGGAACCAGAGTTGTAGAATTTTCCTTGCAGCGTGAAACGGCTTTTGGAACATTGGCGTCAGGGTTTTCTCTAGCGAATGGAAGTGGATAACTGTGGTTTTAGGTGACCGTAATTTCACCAAGTACAACATGTTCCTGGATCAACATCCTTGTTGATCCTGGAACAAAATTCCAATTAACCAATCAGAATTGAGGGATAATTTTCAGGAAATATCTGTTTTAGGCTTACGATCAGGATTAGGTGTCTTACTTGGCAAAATCAGGGCGACCGTGGTTTTATCCGAAAGTGAAACGTATGCTGCGAATGCCCTCCTGGGACATTCGTGCTTACCAGTTGACAAGTCGTAATTACGACGTCAGGTGCGTTCAAGTCAGTTTAGTCGGCACAAGATGGCGGTGTACCTTCTTTTAATAAATTACAAGAAAATACAACAGGGTCTGTTAACTCTGCTTATAGAAAATGAAGAGCAAAGAATTCGCATCAGGTGTGTTTTGCGTTTTTAATATTTTTTTTAGACCAGGATCCAGGTATAACTGATTTTCAGCATCAACAAATGCTAAAATACAGAGATTAAAAAAAGCTGTTAGCTAAATGCAACATGCAACATGGCAAATCAAAAGATTTTTCACCTATAGGTGCAAAAATTATAGCATTTTTTTTCATTGGATTTCATAACTAGCTGCGTAACAAGAACATGACCAATTTAAGTTTATAGGACAACTAAACTATCAATTTAAACAAAAATTTACCGTCAACTACAGACGTTGCATCCATCGATTCCGCCATGTTTCTCATTGACACGCCCCCAACTCGGAAACTCGGGGCTTAAAGAAAATTTCGAGTTTCCCACTCGTAATAACGACTTTGTGGTGGCTTCATGTGCGTTCAACTCGTAAATACGATCTGTCCGACATGACTTGAACGCACCTGTACTCCATTGGAGCCGGTGTTCGGGAAATGGAAAACCTTATGGGGTTGATTACAGAAGGCCACTTTTTGTGGGCATATAGTCGCCAAAACTGCAACAATCCCTTAGCAGCTACCCAGAACGCCTTAGCAACCTCCTAACAACCACCCAGAACACATTAGCAAGGCCTTGACCACCCACAAGACCTGCATTGCGACAATTACTCACCCAGAACATTTTCACAGATCTTAAGGAAATGTGAAACTGTAGCCTATTATATAAAATGTATATACAGTTTGTATTTAACGTTTTTCTTTCGTTATTTTTAATGTTTTTCTGAGTTAATTCTCAGTCTAATTATTCAGGATTAATGTTAATCAGTTAAGAATTTTGCCTTAAACATGCCTCTGAAAATCTCCACATATCAAGGGGGACAAATGTTGCTTTTTAATGGACAATGTAATTTCTGGCACTTATCTTGTATAGCCAGAGTATTGAGTTGTGTGTGCTCTCGGTGAGGGTCTGGCACGAAGCCACCGCACTGTCCGAGCACAGCCTCTCCTCCTCCGGTCAGACATGCGAATCCGTACGGAAAGCGGAAAATATGCTTGCAGCACTTAGGAAAAGTAGCCTACAACTCTCCGCAGCACACTCTGCCCGCGCAGCTCTGAATGAATCGCGTGTCTCACGCACGGCTCTCGTTATTGGAATGGTTTAGCTCCTGTAGGATGAGAGTGAACGGTCGCGGTACTTTGCAAACAAGCGCTGCCAGTAAACGGTCCGCTTGACTGAGGTAGTTTTTGCCGGAATCTCAGAGCGTCAGTACCACAGCTTTATCTAGCCTACATGTGGCGGCTTTCACATCAACACAGCATTTCTCTTTAAAAGGTAAATTTATGTACTTGGGCTTTACTATGTTTCATGCTGTCTGCAGTTAAATGTAAATACACTCTTAAAAATAAAGGTGCTTCACGATGCCATAGAAGAACCTTTTTGTTTAAATGGTTCCATAAAGAACCTTTAACATCTGAAGAACCTTTCTGTTTCACAAAAGGTTCTTTGTGGCGAAAAAAGGTTCTTCAGATTATAAAAAGGTAAGAAAGAAATGGTTATTTAAAGAACCTTTGACTGAATGGTTCTTTGTGGAACCAAAAATGGTTCTTCTATGGCATCGCTTGAAGAACCTTTTGAAGCACCTTTATTTTTAAGAGTGTAGTGGGGGTGTTTATGTGCTATATTATAGTAGTATGGGTCAAAAATGAGTTTAAATTCATAGCAATGCGTTTTCTTTTTCATTTAATGTAGCACACAGATTAATCATTTTTGAGAGGCAAATGTCTAAGTTCAAAAGCAGTTCAGCAAATCTTTTGCTCGTTTCTATTCAGAAACACTTCTCTGCCTGCACAAATCTATTGTTCATTTATGTAATCATTGTTGTTATTTACGAAATAAATGTAAATATAGCCATCCTAAAATGCTGTATTGGTTTAAGATGGTCACACATCCTGGCAAAGCTGGTGTTCAGCTGGTTTAGCTGGTCAGCAAGCTGGTCTCCCAGTCTGACCAGCTGAAAAGAGCACAGATCAAGCCAACACACCATCCTGACCTACTAAACCCAACACACCATCTTAGGCTGGATTTGTCTCCCCAGTAGGATGATTATGAGATATAGTTTAATTTGCATATGATAAAAAAAAATGCTTTTAATTTTAATTTTTAAATGTATTTATTCATTACATTTCTGTTTGATGCGAAACAGATGTTGAGTAAGTGAATGTGTGTCTGGCTAATGCTGGTGTACTGTTACATCACATCTGCTTGCCTAAAAAACCTTCGGTCACTCATCCAAGTATCTTAACCAGCTTATCAACTTTAAAATAAATGAATTCATTAACAGACACTCCTCTACCTCTTATATTTTAATTAAACAATTAAACACAAGCAAGAGTACTCAATACTGCAGGTAATCACAGCTGCGTTGATATTTAGTACTACAGCACGACTGTAAATGCGTTATTGGCTTTAATTTCAATTCTCTGTGTGTATGTGCTGTACATGTGGAAGAATTGACAATAAAGCAGACTTGACTTGACTTGACTAATAAATTACAAGAAAATACAACAGGGTCTGTTAACTCTGCTTATAGAAAATGAAGAGCAAAGAATTCGCATCAGGTGTGTTTTGCGTTTTTAATATTTTTTTTAGACCAGGATCCAGGTATAACTGATTTTCAGCATCAACAAATGCTAAAATACAGAGATTAAAAAAAGCTGTTAGCTAAATGCAACATGGCAAATCAAAAGATTTTTCACCTATAGGTGCAAAAATTATAGCATTTTTTTTCATTGGATTTCATAACTAGCTGCGTAACAAGAACATGACCAATTTAAGTTTATAGGACAACTAAACTATCAATTTAAACAAAAATGTACCGTCAACTACAGACGTTGCATCCGCCATGTTTCTCATTGACACGCCCCCAACTCGGAAACTCGGGGCTTAAAGAAAATTTCGAGTTTCCCACTCGTAATAACGACTTTGTGGTGGCTTCATGTGCGTTCAACTCGTAAATACGATCTGTCCGACATGACTTGAACGCACCTGTACTCCATTGGAGCCGGTGTTCGGGAAATGGAAAACCTTATGGGGTTGATTACAGAAGGCCACTTTTTGTGGGCATATAGTCGCCAAAACTGCAACAATCCCTTAGCAGCTACCCAGAACGCCTTAGCAACCTCCTAACAACCACCCAGAACACATTAGCAAGGCCTTGACCACCCACAAGACCTGCATTGCGACAATTACTCACCCAGAACATTTTCACAGATCTTAAGGAAATGTGAAACTGTAGCCTATTATATAAAATGTATATACAGTTTGTATTTAACGTTTTTCTTTCGTTATTTTTAATGTTTTTCTGAGTTAATTCTCAGTCTAATTATTCAGGATTAATGTTAATCAGTTAAGAATTTTGCCTTAAACATGCCTCTGAAAATCTCCACATATCAAGGGGGACAAATGTTGCTTTTTAATGGACAATGTAATTTCTGGCACTTATCTTGTATAGCCAGAGTATTGAGTTGTGTGTGCTCTCGGTGAGGGTCTGGCACGAAGCCACCGCACTGTCCGAGCACAGCCTCTCCTCCTCCGGTCAGACATGCGAATCCGTACGGAAAGCGGAAAATATGCTTGCAGCACTTAGGAAAAGTAGCCTACAACTCTCCGCAGCACACTCTGCCCGCGCAGCTCTGAATGAATCGCGTGTCTCACGCACGGCTCTCGTTATTGGAATGGTTTAGCTCCTGTAGGATGAGAGTGAACGGTCGCGGTACTTTGCAAACAAGCGCTGCCAGTAAACGGTCCGCTTGACTGAGGTAGTTTTTGCCGGAATCTCAGAGCGTCAGTACCACAGCTTTATCTAGCCTACATGTGGCGGCTTTCACATCAACACAGCATTTCTCTTTAAAAGGTAAATTTATGTACTTGGGCTTTACTATGTTTCATGCTGTCTGCAGTTAAATGTAAATACACTCTTAAAAATAAAGGTGCTTCACGATGCCATAGAAGAACCTTTTTGTTTAAATGGTTCCATAAAGAACCTTTAACATCTGAAGAACCTTTCTGTTTCACAAAAGGTTCTTTGTGGCGAAAAAAGGTTCTTCAGATTATAAAAAGGTAAGAAAGAAATGGTTATTTAAAGAACCTTTGACTGAATGGTTCTTTGTGGAACCAAAAATGGTTCTTCTATGGCATCGCTTGAAGAACCTTTTGAAGCACCTTTATTTTTAAGAGTGTAGTGGGCGTGTTTATGTGCTATATTATAGTAGTATGGGTCAAAAATGAGTTTAAATTCATAGCAATGCGTTTTCTTTTTCATTTAATGTAGCACACAGATTAATCATTTTTGAGAGGCAAATGTCTAAGTTCAAAAGCAGTTCAGCAAATCTTTTGCTCGTTTCTATTCAGAAACACTTCTCTGCCTGCACAAATCTATTGTTCATTTATGTAATCATTGTTGTTATTTACGAAATAAATGTAAATATAGCCATCCTAAAATGCTGTATTGGTTTAAGATGGTCACACATCCTGGCAAAGCTGGTGTTCAGCTGGTTTAGCTGGTCAGCAAGCTGGTCTCCCAGTCTGACCAGCTGAAAAGAGCACAGATCAAGCCAACACACCATCCTGACCTACTAAACCCAACACACCATCTTAGGCTGGATTTGTCTCCCCAGTAGGATGATTATGAGATATAGTTTAATTTGCATATGATAAAAAAAAATGCTTTTAATTTTAATTTTTAAATGTATTTATTCATTACATTTCTGTTTGATGCGAAACAGATGTTGAGTAAGTGAATGTGTGTCTGGCTAATGCTGGTGTACTGTTACATCACATCTGCTTGCCTAAAAAACCTTCGGTCACTCATCCAAGTATCTTAACCAGCTTATCAACTTTAAAATAAATGAATTCATTAACAGACACTCCTCTACCTCTTATATTTTAATTAAACAATTAAACACAAGCAAGAGTACTCAATACTGCAGGTAATCACAGCTGCGTTGATATTTAGTACTACAGCACGACTGTAAATGCGTTATTGGCTTTATAAGACAGTTTTATATAGTATGTATACTGAGTACTATTTTTCTGGCAAAATTGACCAATTGGTTTGTGTTTCTTCTCCACCAAAGAAAATAGTTAGATCAAGCTTTGGCATCACCAAGCAGCTCATAGTCTAAAAAAAACGGGCTGGAAAAGTGTATATGAGTGGATCTCCCCCACTCAACACTTTCTGCAGTCACTCTTGGCTAACTCCATTCCAGGTTTTCCATTTCCTCACTGCGTTTTCCCCATTATGAGCGACTGTGGAGTGAGGTAAAACACTGATGCTCTGACTTTCAAAAAAACAATCCTCGCTCCAGGCAATCTCTGCTTACACTCAGCACCGTTCACATACTCAGGTCCAGAATGCCGTGAACACAGACGAGCTTGTATACAAATGGTACAACTTCCCAGTGCTGTCACTGTAAACTGTAGGCTAAATATTAGCTCTTTCAGAAAATTCCTTGACCAATCAAATTTAAGCAACTGTTGCATAATTTCTGATCAACAGTCTTAGTGTTGTATCATTCATAAAAATTCACCTCACTTTTTCTTTCCTCACAGGGTACGGGAGATCAGGAACAAAATACATCATTGGGAACATGGGCCAATCTGGGACTTCATCCTATTTTTCTCTCGCTCTAATCAGCATCTTCCTCTTAGTTTTCTTCTATGAGCTCATGCCGGCCTCTGCAGGCAGCTCCAAATCAAGCTTAGATGTAGATACTTCTCCTAACGAAAACTCTTCACACGAGACATGTGGTGGTAGTTTTGAGTGCAAAGAGGGAGTGATCTTGCCAATGTGGACGCCGGTGAACCCCTCTTTTGGGGATAAGCTGGCCAGAGCCACTGTGTACTTTGTCGGTATGGTCTACATGTTCCTAGGGGTATCCATCATTGCAGACCGCTTTATGGCTTCCATTGAGGTCATCACATCCCAGGAGAAAGAGATCACCATCAAGAAGCCTAACGGGGAAACCACAACCACTACTGTTCGTATTTGGAACGAAACTGTCTCGAATCTTACTCTCATGGCTCTGGGTTCCTCAGCCCCAGAGATTATGCTCTCCGTGGTTGAAGTGTGTGGGCACAACTTTGACGCAGGCGAGCTGGGCCCAAACACCATTGTTGGAAGTGCAGCTTTTAATATGTTTGTCATCATCGGTCTCTGTGTCTCTGTGATACCAGAAGGAGAGCATCGGAAGGTCAAGCACCTGCGGGTGTTCTTTGTCACCGCCACTTGGAGTATATTTGCATATACGTGGCTTTATCTGATCTTGGCAGTGATTTCCCCAGGTATCGTGGAAGTCTGGGAGGGACTCCTTACTCTCTTCTTCTTTCCGATTTGTGTCGTATTTGCTTGGGTTGCAGACCGCAGACTTTTATTCTACAAGTATGTGTACAAACGTTACAGAGTCGGAAAACAAAGGGGAATGATCATTGAGACTGAAGGTGAGCCAGAGCACCAGTCAAAGGTAGATATCGAAATGGACGGTGGGATGCTTAACTCTCACAGCGAGGAATTCGTAGATGGCACGGTGGATACTGAAGATAAAGACATGGATGAGGATGTGGCCAAAAGAGAAATGGTCAGGATTTTGAAGGAACTGAAACAGAAACATCCAGAGAAAGAGATGGAGCAGCTGGTTGAGCTCGCCAACTACCACGTCCTCAGCCAGCAACAGAAGAGTCGTGCGTTCTATCGCTGCCAGGCCACTAGACTTATGACTGGTGCGGGTAACATACTAAAAAAGCATGCTGCAGACCAAGCCAGAAAAGCACTAGGCAACCATGAACTTCGATCAGAAGTCTCTGTTAATGATATTTCCTCCAAGATCTTCTTTGACCCCGGAACATATCAGTGTCTTGAGAACTGCGGGACTATGGCTTTGAATGTGGTACGACGCGGCGGTGACTTAACTAGCGCTGTGTCGGTGGAGTACCGCACTGAGGACGGCACTGCCAACGCAGGCTCTGATTACCAGTTCACCGAGGGTGTTATAGTCTTCAAACCAGGTGAGACCGAAAAGGAGATAAGAGTGGACATCATCGACGATGACATTTTTGAAGAAGATGAGCACTTCCTGGTTCATCTTAGCAACGTCAAGGTCATTTCTGAAGGAACTGACAATGGGAACCCAGGGGCCAATCATGTGGACACATTAGCTAGTCTTGGCCTTCCTTCAACAGCTATTGTGACTATCTTTGACGATGACCATGCTGGCATCTTCACATTTGAGGAACGAGTGGTTCATGTCAGTGAAAGCATTGGCATGATGGAGGTGAAGGTGGCACGTACCTCTGGAGCCCGTGGAGTAGTGGTGATCCCTTATAAAACCATTGAAGGCACAGCAAAAGGTGGAGGAGAGGACTTTGAAGACACCCATGGAGTCTTGGAGTTCCAGAATGATGAGATTTCGTAAGTGTATTTTTTTTCTTTTAACTATTCAGTCAGAATCGTGTGCATTGTGGTGCAAAAGGACAAACTGTACGAGCAATGGCATTCTTAATTCACAATTCAAAGGGGAATCAGCATTATCTTGTATAGTAGAAAACCCTGATTCAGCAATAAGGATGGCCGGCTTGCCCGTTGCCGATGTGAGAGTTTTGGGCCGGTTACTTGCCATATTAGAGCAGTGTTATATCTTACATTTTTAATGGTGTAATTGCCTTTTATTGCATGTGAACTTAAACAGGTTGTTTTCTGTGACGTATGGTTGTAAATTCTGCTTATCAAATTTTTAAAACTCACCTACGCTGATGATAATTTTTTGCTGCCTTGGAATTTTCTGTATATTTATAACTCTAGAATTTACAGATGATATTACAAATTTCCTTTATAAAACTTAACATTTGATTGAAAAATGTTAAAATATAAATAATGATATATTCTTAATAATTTTAAATAAATCTTAAAGAATTTGAAAAGAATACATTAAATTTATAACATAATTCTAATATAAATATTACATTTAAATGTATACAAATACATTATATATACATATAATGTGATATATAATGTGTCAAAATGTGTCAAAAAATCCTTACTGTTGAGCTCTACTAACTGTGTAATCAAAAATGATACATTCATCAAAGTCTTCAAGTCAGCCAATTGATTTTATCTCTTAAATATTTGTCTTTATTTCCCATACAACGTGTTTTACCCATTGATGTGTCTGTTTGCTGTAAGTTTTTTTCTGACTCATTTTCCTTTGCAGCTCTCCTGTTGCTTTCTTTTCACTCTTTCATTTCCCCACTAGCTTTGCTCACTTTAATGTTTCCATTTTGCGCAGTTTATTTCAGAATCTGGTCCTCCTAGATTTCCCATTACTCCTTAAATCATGGCTTTTACCAGACATTTTTGTACCCATGTGAAAAATCAAGGAATCAAGGAAGTGAAGTGATATGGTCACATTTACTTTATATCATTGTATCATCAATACGTCATTGCAGTAGCATGCATTTTCACCTCAGATTTAAAGTGGCATGCAAAACTACTTAGCTGTATCAAAAGAGTGTAAAAGATACCTTTATTGCCTGAGGTGATTAAGTTCCTCAAATAACAGACCATTGCTACACAATAAAGGCTTTGATAAATGTAGTCCTTGAATCTGAACTGAATGAAAAAGCATCTGGTTTGGAGTGAATGAGCTAAGTAGAAGCTTTCCACACATCAGATCTGCTTAATCTGTGTAAAGACATGTCTCGGACTTCCAGAACTGCTCATTTGGATGACTAATTACATTTCCATAACCGTTGCAATGCTCGGCTTGAGCTTGAGCTCCAGCTCTAGGACTTCTGGCAGGGAACAGGCTCTCCTCACCCATCTCCTCTTCTGGCACTCCACTCATTTATTGGTATGATCACATACTTGACAAGGTGGTCTGAACCCCAGATATTTTCCATGACAGGGAGGATATAATGATAACAGATTTACACAGTCGAAGATAAACAGCTCTGAATTTGCTCCAAGATCTTGAAATGGAAAAGCTCCCTTGCTTGTGCTTATTTTAAGCTGATTAATGGGAAGACATGCACAAATGTAAACAGAGGTAAACGCATTGCTTTGAAGTAAGCAACCTACGCCATGCTGATCTGGCTATGCCTACAGATGAAGCTCCATATATGGACAGGTCTCGACTCTGGACCCTGGATCCTATTTGGAGACAACTGTTGGTGGTGGATGTTTTTATATGGTGCTACTTCAAATCAGTGTCCTTTACTCATTATTTAGATTGAATCAACCGTTTGGATTCCTTGGCAAAAGGAAGGTCTGGTAAGAAAACAGGTGTGGTTTTGGTGGTTCAGATAAGCTAAATGAAAAATGGCATTCCATATTGAAAACATAGAGATCGTATTTTAGATTAGACACTAAGGATATCGATAAAAAAGCTAGATGTATCTTGTGAGGACACTTAGATATCACAGAGGTGGTGGTGAATTTAAAACCGTTCAATTTCTTTTTCTGTCTCGTCAATTTGTATGTTCACACCAAAGTAGCCCTATCTTCACTCACTTTCTTTTTGATTAGTATATGAGTAAATCTACAACTGGATTGATCAAATGGGCAAAAACTGGTCCTAAAATACTCAATTTATACACTATAAGTTGTAAACACTAGTTTGAACTTGGATTCCTGTTATTGACGTATTACCATTGAGTGTTTCATCCTTATGGGGGGCTGTCAAAGACACGAGCAAACCGCCTGTGCCCTCTCAGGGTTTTGTCATGCTGAGTAATGAATATAATGTTTTTAATGAGCAACTTTTAAATCTCAATCTCAATCTTGCTACAGTCCTCATTTCTTTGCACAGTGAGGATTCTTGGACATTTTCCTCAATACACAGAATAACAAGAATGAGTGTGTTGTCTATGATCCTAAAGAGAAAGAATGAAATTTAGGCATGGGGGAAAAAGAGGGGGGAAACAGACAAAGAACACAGAAATAGTATGTTAGGCATGTTTATATTGGCTTGAGTAAGACCTCGCATAAACACTGTACATGGAGGGGACAAAGTCTCTAGAGGGGTGGAAATTTCCATCAATAGTAGCTGGAAAATTCCATATAGTAGGGACTACACAATTAATTTGGCAACCCCAAATAATATTTTGCTTTATTCACAGGCAAAGCCTATTTTAATTTCTAGTTTTCTGATTGGTTAAAAAAAGTCTTTAATTGGTCAAATTTTTCCTTTCATGTCTTGAGTTGGTTTACAGGGCTCAGGGCTTTCACAAAGATGGGTATGATATCTCAGGACTATTTCTGTGATATATGTCAGGTAGTAGGAATGTTTTAAGTGTGGCCTTTCATAAAAATGCTTACAGCACCTTTAGTCTAATTAATCTAACAGTCAAAAGCTTAGTTGGGGTCTTCAGTAAGACACTGCGACGTGACCTTTGTTATAAGGACACACTATGTCCACGTGCCAGAGTTCTTGCCTCTGCCCATGGCTGATTAGATGACTCGTTCAGTGGTCATGTGAACCTTGGGCAGTACATGAGCACTCTGAAACAAAGACTTGCTCAACTGATGAGTTAAGAATGAAGGGAGTTCTTTTTTTTTTTTTTTTTCAAAAAAATAATTTTCAATTAACTTAATAAAAAAATGACGTGACATGTGGTAACCCATATTCGGAATTTGTGCTCTGTACATCCGGTTGGCCAAAAAAATTATTTATGTTGTCCCAATGAGAATGGATTAGATAAACACTCAGTTTACAAATTCAAATTGATTGCATGTCATGTGCAATCGCATTGCATTAGCTCATTTTAGTTCACTAAATTAACAAGCGGCAAAAAAGTTTTTTTGAGACTTGGTTTCTCTCTTTTTATTGGTCAAGAACTATGTCCTGATTCTGCAGGAGAAGGAAAGATGCTCCCGGGTTTATTGTTATGTTTTTGGAGCGTGTTTTTTCCCCCTAGTCGAGGAGGAGAGGGCCTTCTGTCGCCACAGTCCTCTGCCAGCTCAGAGCTGCCCAGACAAACATGCTGTCAGTTGATTTCATGTGACTCGTTGCACAAGGCAAAGATAGAGTCAGCAGCAGTGCACCATTAAATCACCGCTCCCATCTTTGCTGGGAATATTAATCATATTAGTTAGCCCCTCTTGGCCAGTTATTATCTTATGATCATCTATGACTAATTCAAATTATTTCCAGAGGTTTCTGTGCCTGCTGAATGCTCACGGCTTTGTGTTGTATGTGTGTTTTCCTAATTTTTATTAAGAGATCAGCCTTTTTTCTGAAACCACTTGATGACAGTTTTACAATGAAGTCTGTTAAGTATGTGGCTCATGGCGAAGTACAGAGATCAGGTTATGTAGCTTTACCTAACATGATTATGCATGGCATTAATGCATTAATTGTTTAAGACACCATATTGGCACAAATGTTCTTCCTCTTAAGGCAGGTCATGAAAATTGTATTAAATATGGAAAATGTGCTTTTTTTGGTTTGGTGACATGAATCAGCAGTTGGCTCACAGAGAGCCAGTCACTGTCAGAATAACCCTCGGTGTCCCTTGAAGGCGAGTTTGTTCTTAAAGAATCTCGGTGAATCTCTTAGCATTACTTCTGCCTGCTTAGTTTAGTTTATTCATTCATGATGAAAACTGTACACACTGAGTGATGGAGATTTTTTAAAGGAAAGTACTGAAAATACTGTGTGTCTGTTTACAAAGCATCACTTAAGCACTCAAAATTCGTTTTTTTTTTTTACCACTTTGCATTCCTATATTATTTGACAGGTTTTTTTTAATGGCCTATGCTAAAAATTGATCTAAAAATATCTAGCAGGACTGGGTGATATACTTACAATTTGATTTATTTTTTTTTTTTTTAATTTTGACAATAATCTCAATAGTTTTGCATTTGCTTTAGAAAAAATTGGTGAATTTCTTTTGGCCAAAATAAATAAGTAAATAAAACATGATTTGGATAGAGCATTCTAAGCACATTCAAAAATGTTTAGTGCAAAACACACAGTTACGAAAATGTAAATGTAATGTTATTTTTATTAAATTAACACATTGGAAAAATAATGCAAAATGAGTGTGAAAAGTGCAATCTGATTTAGCTTTTAATTTAATCTAATTTAGCTTATTTTTTATTTATTTGTTTTCAACAACATTTACGTAGAATTCATTACAAAAATATACACTAAGCATATAAAACTTGGAATTGACAGTAGACGGATAGCAGCCAGGCCACAGTATATCACTTTATCACAATTCCCTTTCACGTGTAAGATAACAGATATGGTGCTTAAAATTAGAGCTGTGGAAAATCTCTGCAGAATTTCTCACTTAGAAATGGAAGAGAATGTAAACAGTATCGGCCCGCATTCATTCAACTATGTTGTGGTCGGCATAGAAAAAGTTTTCCTGACAGGTTATGGTTCAATTATTCTAAGTCAGACCAGC